CACCAGTCTGATAACACAGCCCACCAGTCTCAAAACAAAGCCCACCAGCCTGATCATACAGCCCACCAGTCTGATCATACAGCCCATTAGTCTGATAATACAGCCCACCAGTCTGATAATACAGCCAATCAGTCTGATCATACAGCCCCTCACTCTGACCATACAGCCCATGATCTGATCTTACAGAGCACTAGTCTGATAATACAACCCACCAGTCTGATCATACAGACCACCAGTCTGACCATACATCCCAACAGTATGATCAATACAGCCACAAGTCTGACCATACAGCCCACAAGTCTGACCATACAGTCCACAAGTCTGATCATACAGACCACCAGTCTGATCATAAAGTCCACCAATGTCATCATACTGCCCACCAGTCTGACCGGACAGCCTACTAATCTGATAATACAGCCCACCAGACTGATCAATACAACCTACCAGTCTCATAATACAGCTCAATAATCTAATAATACAACCCACCAATCTGATCATACAGCCCACCAGTCTGATCATACAGCCCATCAGTCAGATCTTACAGCCCACCAGTCTCATAATAGAGCCCATCAGCCTGATCATACAGCCCACCAGTCTGATCATACAACCCACCAATCTGATCTTACATGTTTGATGTTTGAATTTTGCTTCTTTAGTTTTGCTCTGGAACTTCAAGGTTAATGTAGCTGACAGGCAGTGGAAATTTATACACCACCAATTAGCACTGTACAAATTAATCTAACAAAATACACAGAAATTCATTTGAGTCAGACAGAGATCTCTCTCTCTCTCTCTCTCTCTCTCTCTCTCTCATTATTTTATTAATTTATTTAGATGTTTAAAATACTCAGACAGGACGAAATTCAGTTAGTGAGGATCCTTCCATCATAATAAAAATGTTCTCAGAGAGAGAAACTCTTTCCTCACACCTGCATGTCTCTGCACACTCCAGAGTTTAATGAAGTGATAATAATTTATTGCACTCCAAATTCTGGAGGTCTTCTGAGCTCTGAAGTAATCAGAGGAAAAGCACTGAGCAGTGAAATACACTAAACCAATGAATGAACAGGTGACAACGCCAGTCAAGCTTTACCTGAACACTGTGTTCATTCATTTCTCTCTGTTTTTCTCCTTCATTTCCTCTAATCTGAGACTAAACACATTCCTGTGAGGTCAGTGAAGAATCTCTCTCCGTCTCTGAGCTCCTGTAGACCAGATAGCAGTGCAGGACTGGGGGAGAAGAGGGTGGAGGGGTTCAGTTAGGGTTGAGGTCTTGAGTTTAGGTGTTGAGTTGGTGTTTGAGGTATTGGACGGGGGTTGAATGTTTTGAGTTTAGGACTGATGGGGTGTAAATGTGAGTTGAAAGTGTTGAGTTGGGGTTGGAGGTGCTGAGTTGGGTTTAGAGGTGTTGAGTTGGGGTTAGAGGTTTTGAATTGGGGCTAGAGGTGCTGAGTTGGGGTTGGAGGTGCTGAGTTGGGGTTAGAGGTGTTGAGTTGGGGTTGAAGATGAGTTGGAGTTTGGAGGTGCTGAGTTGGGGTTAGAGGTTTTGAGTTGGGGTTAGAGGTGTTGAGTTGGGGTTGGAGGTGTTGAGTTGGGGTTGGAGGTGCTGAGTCGGGGTTAGAGGTGTTGAGTTGGGGTTGAGCAGGAGGTTCTGAGATGAGCTGGAAATGCTGAGTTGTGGTCAGATTACTCCAACACAGTTGAGGTTGGACCATTCAAGCCCACCTGCTCTCTTCACAAACAGAGCACATAGCGCCCCCTGGAGTGAATCTAATGTCCATCCTGAACACAAAGCAGAGCTGAGCTCCATCAGTCACTTTGGGTCACATCCAGCTCATCTGTCTCATCACCTCATCTTCTCTTCTCCTGGTCCAGCAGGAGGAACTAATGACCGCTGGGTATCTGTGAAGAGGGTTCAGGATGAGGCTGCAGCTCTGAGTCTGATTATTTATAGATAAGCTGCTCAGAAAAGCCTTGAAGCTCCCAGACTGTCTGTGAGAGAGACGGAGAGAGAATGTACTGTTTGTACATGATGATCATTAATATTAGCTGAGGGATCAGTGTTCCTCTCTCAGTGACCTCGACTCTCAGAAACATCTCTCAAACTCACACACATCAGAGGAAACAGCAGCAACATCTGGACTTCAGTGAACTCCAGCATCTACAACAACCTCAGCCTGAGAGACTCAGTAGGCAGCTCAGAAACAAACACAGCCTGAAAGTGAAAAAGCTCTGAAAGGAGATTTGCAGTCAAACACGCATCCACCCTCAGAGCCGACCGTCTGATCTTGGACTGACGCTCTCAATCACAGCAGGTTATCCAGCCATCAGTTTGGCCGTCAGTGTGTTCCTCCAAGTCTGAGGCTGCGAGACGTTTAGCCACTACAGATCAATGAGTTGTGACCTTACTGTCAAATCAATAATCAATACATAGTGTTGACCCTTACAGGTCTGGAGTTATTACTGTCACTCTGACATGCTGTTCAAACACAGTTAATTACTCAGTTATGACATTTCTGTCTCTGAATAACTCACTGCTTTGATGGGATGGAAACTTCTGCTGCTTTTATTTTGTAGATCAGGAGGTGCTGATGCTCACAGCTACAACCTTGAAGAGCTCTTCATCTTTCTTTTCCGTCAGCTTCTCCTCTCCTTCGTCCTCAGCTTTTTTTTAGTAGCTAGGTAACACTACTACAGTGAGTTCTTTACAAAGTGATAAATCTTAAAATATCAGTAAACACATCTTCACTTCATTGTAGAGTCCATTCTGGAGCCCCTAGTGGTGATGATGTAACAGTGCTTGGAGACTTTATCCTCACCTGGAAAAGCAAAGAATTCACTAAACTGTGTTTGACGCTTTCTCAATAGCGTTAGCCTCAACTGCAAGTGCTAACACAGATAGAGGAGAATTTACAACTGAAGACACAAACAGCTCAAATAAGCAAACATTACTCACTGTCGCCCCCTACATGTAGTCAATACACTTTTTCTCTTTGTTTATTATTTTTATTTAAATTTTCTTTTATTGATGCGGAGCAAATCTGTTATTTTTCAATGCTGGTTCTCTTCGTCCCCCATGTGGTCATACAGGCCTCATCCATCACTGCTCACACTGACACACCGGGATTCTCAGCAGGTTCCTGTCCTCCCTCACTCCGTCCATCTCTCTGTCCTCCAGCAGAGAGTCAGGGATGGAGAGAAAAGAGACAGGACTCAAGACCAAATCCTGTTTCCACAGCAGAGCTAGCGCTTCAAACCCACACTAGCAGTAATTACTCAGCCCTGACGTTCCTCCCTGAGCAGGACTGGAGCTCCTGATCTCCACTGAAACCCTCAGATACTCTCCCAGTCCTCTCCTAGTGGCTTCCAGGGAGTCCCTAATAATTTACACCATGAAATGAGGAACTTCAAGAGCTTTGGAGGCTTTTGTAGCTGCTGTCTTTCTGCCTGGCTGCTTCACTGAGAGGATTCTGGATCTCCATAAAGGAGAGATGAGATGGAAAAGGTGACCAGCTTTGGTGTAATAAAGACCTCAGATTCAGACTTTGGTACATCATTTACAATCAGAAGAGTTAAACTCTTCTCATATGATTATATCTCACCTATAGTATATGAAATATTGTTTTGGGCAAATAAATAAATTAAATTATTAAATGATTAACTGAATTATGGCTTATTCTAAACAATTCCACTACTGATACTGTATAGTGAAGCTGTCTGACAGTAGAAGCAGTAAAATGATCATTAAATGATGAACTGTAAACATCACCACTGTAATACTCTGCTACAAAACCTTCACCTTCCGTCTGACGTCCACCAAAAACGCATGAACCTGTTTATTGATCAAGAGTTCCAGATCACTCTGATCATATTTACTGTATTTCCACCCCAAACTGAGCTCTTCACTACGCCACTGTAGCAGCAGCTCCACACAGTCTGCTCTGATCCTCCAGCAGCTCCTGTATCTCCTCTGAGAGACTCCAGCTCATATCAGAGGAGCAGAGGAAGAAAAGGAGGAGTGGACAAGCATCCGTAGCTAATCGCTGTCCATCTCCAGTCTGAGCTGTAGAGAGATCTCAGAGAGGGAGACGGAAAAAGACGCTGACAGGAAATGAAAAGGGAGAGATGGAGATAAAATCAGGAAACACAATGAGAGTCTGTGCATAAACACACAGCAGTGGCTAAAGCAGCCAATAAAGAGAAGCGTGAGGGTTAGCATAGCAGGCTAGCCCACACACTAGGCCATATTAAATAATGCAGTAAAGCAGCAGTGACAACTTTAGAGCTGTAGGAGTTGAACATGTCAGTCCTGGACGAGTCAGAAGCTGATGGTGCAGAACGCTGGATTTCAGCGCTGGTCATGCTAATGCTTGAGTCTGTTAGCTTAAATAAGAGAGCAGGACTCTCGTGATTCACCGTGCAGAGCAATAAAGAGACCAGCTTTAATGACCTTTACCATCAGCACTGAGATCAGATGGAATCGGTCAGTCTCAGAGAGAAAACTGACCACACAGAGTGTTTGAGGAGGTAAACAAAGCTGGAGAAACTGACCTGAGTTAATGATGATGAGTCAGTGAGCTGTTCATCAAAGCCCAACACAGACTCAGTTATATTGAATACAATAGAGTTCTAATCCATTATTTAACTTAACTGTGCATTTCTATGTAGCTAACAAGCAATGGAGACTTATGTACACCGATTAGCATGGTGCTAACTGCATGTGTATGTGACTCTGTATGATTCACTGTATCTATAAACATGGATTAAAGTACATTAGCATAGCTAAACACAGTAGAGAAATCTTGAAATGTGATTTGTGGCAGAACTATCGCTTTAAGAGCTCCAACAGGAGAACCAGCCTGTGGAGGGTCCTGCACGGAGGGTCCTGTAATTCAAGATCAGTCAGCATTTAGAGACTGTAGTTCAGGAGTCGTTTGTGGATTGCAGTTCAGGAGTCGTTTGTGGATTGTAGTTCAGGAGTTATTTGGTGGATTGTAGTTCAGGAGTCGTTTGTGGATTGTAGTTCAGGAGTTATTTGGTGATGGTAGTTCAGGAGTCGTTTGTGGATTGTAGTTCAGGAGTTATTTGGGAATTGTAGTTTAGGAGTTATTTGGGGATTGTAGTTCAGGAGTTATTTGGGGATTGTAGTTCAGGAGTTATTTGGGGATTGTAGTTCAGGAGTTATTTAGAGATTATAGTTCAGGAGTTATTTTTTCATGTCCCACTTTCTTTGACACGTTAACCACAAGCACAACAGGAAGTGACTCACACTCAGTTCAAAGAAACCAAAACTGGTCTCAGAGTGCTGCTTGCTTACGTTCTCACGCTCTCTCTCTCTCTCCCTCTCGCTCTCTCTCTCTCTCTCTCTCAGTGTAGACGGTCAGGATGATGGCAGAGGCCAGTATTTCAGTAGATCAGCACCAGTTCAGCTGTCCAGTCTGTCTAGATCTCCTGAAGGATCCAGTGACCGTTCCCTGTGGACACAGTTTCTGTATGGTGTGCATTAATGGCTGCTGGGATCAGCAGGATCAGAGGGGGCTCTACAGCTGCCCCCAGTGCAGAGAGACCTTCACTCCGAGGCCTGTTCTATGCAGAAACTACTTTATAGCTGAAATGTTGGAGAAACTGAAGAAGGCAGAAGACCGAGCTGCTCCTCCTGCTGGATCTGGAGATGTGGAGTGTGATTTCTGCACTGGGAGGAAACGCAAAGCTGCAAAATCCTGTCTGACGTGTCTGGCCTCCTTTTGTGAAGATCATCTTAAACCTCACTATGAAGGTGCTGCTTGGAAAAAGCACAAGCTGGTCAAAGCGTCCACACGACTACAAGAGAAGATCTGCTCTCAACACGACAAACTGATGGAGATCTACTGTCGCACTGACCGAAGCTGCATCTGCTATTTGTGTACAATGGATGAACACAAAGGCCATGATACAGTCCCAGCTGCAGCACAGAGAACCCAGAAACAGGTGAGAACTACAGACCTTCTGGATCTAAATGAAGCTAAACTGCATCAGCTGAAGGATTTAAACTGTCTCAGTTCTTGAGTTTAATGGGGTTTGTGTGTAAAGAATGTGTGTAAAGTGTTGTGGATGAGGAAGTGTTGAATAAACTCTTTCTTCCTCAGCAATAGGAATAAAGTCAGAGCAGTCTGTGAATGTTTTACCAGCCAACACCCTCTTCAGCCTTATAGTGCTCACATGATGGTGTGAAAGCTCTGTAGAACAACAGTGAACTTCACTACTGCGTCACTCCACACTGACTCACCCACAACATGTCCACTCACGTCCTGGATTTACATGGAAATGTTCAAGAAGAAACGTCAGTTTAGTTCAGTCAACTTGAGACATTATAGAAAGGTCTAGCAACACTTTACCAACCAATGGACCTTTATAAAGTCCAGAAAAGTGCTGTAAAGTGAAGTTTCTGTATGAACCTGATGAAGCTCCATGAGGTGAGTGGACTGGGCCGAGGTGAGCTGGTGTGGAATGACCCTTCTTTAACCCACATTCATCCTAATGAGTGTAGGTGATGATTCCCAGTCATATAGTGTGTTTGTTGACAGAGGGAGCTGGAGGAGATGCAGAGAGACGTCCAGCAGAGGATCCAGGAGAAACAGAAGAAGCTGCAGGAGCTGGAACAGGCTGTGAACACTCTTAAGGTGAGGACTGAGCAGAGATTGGATATTTCAGAGCTCAGTCAGGTTCTCCTCCAGTCAGACAGTGAGGAGCTCAGTGTTGGACACTCTGGGATTAAATTCACACACTTTCTCCTCCCATTACACCAAATGGAGTCCAGCACACAAGACACGTTTGGGCTCTGAAGGTTCAGCACTGGAGCTACAAGGCTAATGTAGCTAATAAGCTGATACTGTACTCTACCAGTTAGCACGTAAAAGTGTGTTAGCATAGATGAAAGCAGTAGCAGCCGTCCAGAAGTCTCACTTTCATCTGTGTCTCTGTACCATTTTTATAGATCACAGTGAGTCATAGAATATTTCTACTGTTACTCCACAGCTTAGCTACATTAGCCTCACAGCTCCAGTGCAGACCAGAGGAATCAAACTTCAGACACTAAACCCGTCTGAACTGATGGACTACACTGACTGTGAGGAGTGAAAGTGTGTAATGAGATGTTCTACTGAAGTCCTCCTTTAAATGGAGCTCTATATGTGCTCTCTGTATGTGCTCTAACAGCGCTGTGCTCAGACAGCAGTGGAGGACACTGAGAGGATCTGGACTGAACTGATCTGCTCCATTGAGAAAAAGCGCTCTGAGCTAACAGAGCTGATCAGAGCTCAGGAGGAGGCTGAACTGAGTGCAGCTGAAGAACTCCTGGAGAAACTGGAGCAGGAGATCGCTGATCTAAAGAGGAGAAACACTGAGCTGGAGCAGCTTTCACTCACAGAGGATCACATCCATTTCCTCCAGGTAACAATCACTGATCTACAGAGGAACCTGTTCATCATCAACTTCATCAAACTCCTCTCAGCTAAAGTTCATGAAGACAGTAATAAACAGAGCTCTGTCTGATCACTCGCTCATCTTTAGTCTGATTTGGTCTGATCTGCTTCATTCCTCTTTTTCTCCATTCTGTTTTTCTCTGTGTAGAGTTTCCAGTTTCTGAGCGTCTCTTCTGGATCTGAGGACTCCTCCAGCATCTCTGTCCATCACCATCTCTCATTTGATGGAGTGAGGAGCGCTCTCTCTGATCTGAAAGAGAGACTAGAGGAGTTCTGCAGAGAGGAGTTCAGGAAAATCCCTCCACAGGGTAAGAGGAGCTTCCTGCTGGGAAACGGATGGATGGAAAGCTTTACTCCACAACCACATGGGATACCATAGCAACCACTGAGCAACGGCCTAATAACCACATGCAATCCCATAGCAGCTGCCTAGCAATACCCAAGAAACCACCATGGATACCATAGAAACCACTTCATAAAATCTTTGCAACAACCAGAGATTGCATAGCGAACACATACCGATTCCCTAGAAACCACTTTGGACACACATAGCAACCAACATACAACACCCTAGCAACCATTTGACATACCATAGCAACCACCAGAGATACCCTAGCAACTACCAAGCAGCAACTTACTAACCATGTAGAACAGATCTACATGACATAGACAGCAAATACCTAGAAACACCCTCTGCAACTACCTGGAATACCAATGCTGGAGTAACCAGGAACTGTCCTACAACAGTCTTCGGATCCACAGCATCCACCTATTGACACCTGCCAACCACAAGAGATACCGTAGCAATTAAGTAGCAAGTAATTTATAACCATAGTAACCTTTTTGCCAACAACCATCTGGGAATTGTTTTAAGCAGCGCAATTTTCTTCAGAAAAAGCAGTTTTCTAGTTTTCGATTTCAAAACTTTTTAGCTTCTGTTGATAGAAGACATGTTTATACAGCTTAGAGTGAGACTGAATAGGATGTTTTCTCCTCAAAAAGATTAGAAAAAGAATTAATAAAAATTCACAAGTTCCTATCTGTACAGAGTCTCATTCTATTCTATTCTATTCTATTCTATTCTATTGATGTGGTCCTGTGTGTTCTTGTGTCTCCACAGCTGCAGCAGCTCCTTTATTACTCTCAGAACCAAACAGCAGAGAAGATTTTCTACAGTGTAAGTTGAGCCTTTAGGCAGCGTCTGAAATTCTCACTGTAGAGACGTTTAAAGTTAAAAATAAACACAACAACAAACACAACGTTTTTCTTCAAATAAGAACTTTCTGTGAACACAAACATAAACGGATTACTTTCTTTATTTTATTGTGATTTTATTTAGATTTCTGTCAGCTGACTCTGGATCCTAAAACAGTGCACTGTCGCCTCAGTTTGTCTGAGAACAACAGAGTGGTGGAGAGGAGTAAAATAGTCCAGAGTTACTCTGATCATCCATATAGATTTGCCTGGTATCCTCAGGTGCTGAGTGTGGAGAGTCTGAGTGGACGCTGTTACTGGGAGGTTGAGTGGAGCGGAGAGGTGGACATATCAGTCTCATATAAAGAGATCAGCAGGAAAGGAGGTATTGAGTGTGCGTTTGGACGTAATGATCAGTCCTGGATGCTGCAGTGTTCCACTTCCTCTCTCACTTTCTGGCACAACTACAATATCACTGCTCTCCCAGGACGTCCATCCTCCAGAATAGGAGTTTATGTGGATCCCAGTGCAGCAATTCTGTCCTTCTACAGCGTCTCTGACACAATGACCCTCCTACATACAGTCCACTCCACATTCACTCAGCCTCTCTACGCTGGGTTCTGTGTTTGGGAAGGATCAGCTGTGAGGTTGTGTGATTAAAAATGATGGCGGTGGGCTCCCGAGTGGCACAACCATCTAAGCGTTGGCCCCATCATCAGGAGGTCACGAGTTCGATCCCTGGTGCTGCTACAGCCGTCCGTAGCCGGGAGTCCTAGAAAGCACAACTGACCTCGCTCTTTGGGTGGGTAGGATGGCCCCCCTTCTCCCCCCATCACTCAGCCTGATGCTAGTCAGCGCAGGTGTCTGTTAGCTGACGTAACAGATATGGTGGTTGGCGTTTCCTCCAAGCACGTTCAGCTGTCCAATGATGTTGCGTGAGCGGCAGATGCGGTGGCTGGTTTCACAGGTCTCAGAGGAAGCCTGTGTTAGCCTTCACCCTCCTAGCGTTGATAGCATTGTGTGATTGGGGGAGTCCAAACTAGCGGGTGGAAGTGGAGATGACTAAATTGGGGAGAAAATCAGGTAAAAATAAATAAATAAATAAAAAATGATGGTGGTGAACGTGGCTCATGGTTTGCGAGGGCTGTTTGACTAAGTTTCTGTTCTTAGCCCATCCTCCTCTGGTTGACACCGGACAGCAAACAGTGTTAGTATAAAGTATTAGAAAACAAAACGGGGAAAAACAGGTGGAGCAATGATTAATTTAAGAGTTTGAGTTTATGCAGCAGCAGCATCAGGAGGGTCAGTTCATGGAAGTGAGGTTTGCACAGCTTTGTACAGTGTGAAGCTCCATGGTAGTCAAAACGGTGCAGATAAGCCAAACTGAGATGGAGCTCTGGTGACTCTAGCAGGTCTGGCAAACGTCGCACAGGGGCTCAAATAAAGGAGAGAGAGAGAGAGAGAGAGTGAGAGATAGAAAGAACAATATTAATTAAGAGGACAGGTGCGTTTATGGAGAGATATCAGAGAGTAATAGTGCAAACAACTGATATTAGCAAAATGCTTGTGCAAACAGATCAGTTTTAAGTCTAGTTTTTAATGTAGAAAGTGGGTCAGTCCCAAACAGAGGTCAGGAGATGATTCCACAGTTTTGGGGCTATGTAGGAAAATGTTCGACCCTCTGCTGTGTTTTTTCTAATTCTAGTAACCGTCAGCAGGCCGTTATTCTGTGAGTGGAGCGTACGTGTGGGTTCGTATGACTGATCTAATTCACTAAGATACCGTGGGGCCATTTAATGATTTGTACGTTGAGAGAAGAATCTTATATTCTACACCAAATTTAACAGGTAGCCAGTGTAATGATGACAGGATTGGGGATATATGGTCAAACCTTTTGGTCCTTGTAAGGACTCTAGCAGCTGCATTCTCGATCAGAGCTTATTAAGTAATGTATTGGAGCGTCCAGCTATATTGATGTTACAGTAGTCCAGCCTGGAGGATATAAATGCATGCACCAGCTTTTCCACATCGTTCAGGGCTAGAATATTACGTAGTTTAGCGATATTACACAAGTGAAAGAATGCGGTTCTAAGGATATTGCAAACATATCAAAAGAGAGACTGCAATCGAAGATGACGCCTAGATTTTTTACAGTGGTGCTTGGAATGACCGTATGGCCATCTAAATTTTGTTACGGGACAGCAGGGAGGCGGACCCAAGTGCAAAGATGAAGACCAGTGGGAAAGGTTGTAAAACAAATTTGAGGTAATGGGATGTGAATTTGGTACGTTAGGATTGAAGTGAACCCAGAGCTAGGCTCGAACCGCCGATGTACTGATGTACTGAGTTAACACTGCGCTACTGGGATGCACAGGTGACAATGGGTTAAACACCTCAAGGTATGGGAAATAAAAAAGGCGGGAAAAATGGCAACAAACAAAAGAAACATTGAAAGCACCACGCTCAAACAAAGGCTGAACTAGAAACGTGAAATAAAAGATAATGAGAAAACAAAAGACTCTTCCACTGTAATTATGGGAATTGGAGTTCACTGAAGTTATGGCACTTGGCCACCGTCGCCCTCTGCTGGCAAGATCTCAGAACAGTGGAGAGTTGAGATCTTTCTGCTTTGGGTCCAAGTAGTAGGACCACAGTTTTGTTAGGATTAAGAAGAAGGAAATTGTTGGCCATCCAGCTTTTGATACTTTTAACACATTCTTCAAGATTATTTAGATTTAAAGCATCATTTTGTTTAGCAGATATGTAAAGTTGCATGTCATCCGCATATCAGTAAAAACGTTGAACCTGCAAATTAGGTTACCAAGAGGTTGCATGTACAGAGAAAAAAGCAGCGGCCCGAGCACGGATCCTTGAGGGACACCATATTGTACTAGCATATGATCAGAGTGTTTATTGTTAACACTGATAAATTGATAACGGTCTGTCAGATAAGATTGGAACCAGGACAAAGCCTGTCCTTTGATACCAACCAGATTTTCCAGCCTATCAAGGAGGATTTTGTGGTCAATAGTATCAAATGCTGCACTGAGATCTAGAAGGACTAGTATGGAAATATTGCCACTATCAAGAGACACAAGGAGATCATTTAGTACTCTAGTTAATGCTGTTTCAGTACTATGAAAGGGTCTAAAGATTAATCAGAATATTTCTAAAAGATGTTCAAGCTCTAAGCTTCTTTGTTGTATCTTGTCATAGGATCTCGTTAGCTCTGTCATTCTCTCTTTATCCGGGGTCGACCAGAGGAGGATGGGTTCCTCCCTTGCTCCTGGGTTCCTCTCGAGGGTTCTTCCTCTTACTCCAGGGAGTTTTTCCTCACCACTTTCGCCTCTGGCTTGCTCATGGGGGGGCATGGACCTGGATTCTGTTCCTTACATTTATACATGGACTCTTTTATGATTTTCTCTTATTTTCTTTTTATTTTTTTGATTCAAACTTAGGGAAGGGCAGTTTACCCTGAGGTCAACGAGTGACCTCAGGCGTCCCCTTAAGGTCTTAAAAATATTATGAAATTTTTCTATGAGATTTCCTATTCATTTTTTCCAAACTTTAAAGGACTGTAACCCACAAACCCCAGCTTTCACGCTCTGTAGAAAACCACTTTACAAATTACGAAATAGTTCCTGTTCTATCTGTAGTTTTTGAGAACGTGTTTACATTGTGTCATTCATTCTACAGAGCAGAGAGGGAGAACCAATATGGCGGCCAAGTGGCTTCACTTCACTGTGTACATTGTGATGTCATCACCAATCTGGTTCTCTATATGTATCTATGGTCCTGACTAGGTAGGTTTGGAACTCCATTATGACATCACAGTAGGACTCTGATGACATCATTCTAGAACAGAGCTAGTCTATATAAACCCAACACTTCACAATGTGAGTTCATTCCTGATGGATCACTCTGAAGGTAATTAATTAAAGTTCATGAACACTGGTGGACATTTCTGGACTTTTCCTGTTGCTTCCTCCTTACAGACACCTGTGAGCTGTCATTCTTCTCTGAATGACTAAACTGTGGGTAACTGTGGCCTTGTATTGAGGATACCTGAGAAAGTATACAAGAAGACTAAAAATGAGTTTAAACGTTCAGGTGCTGGTTCACGAGGAGATCTCCAACACAGATTTTTACCCTGTTGTGGTTTAATATAACTGGTTTAATTCTGTTAATTAAATGTCACTTTAAGTAAGAATCACAACATGAGACACCAGAGAAGCACAGAGGCTCAAACAGACACTTTCTGCTCTGAGAAAAGAAGTTATTCTTCAGAAGTTGCAGCTGTTGTGATAATAAAAAGAAAACATGTTAGAACTCTGAACTGTGGACTGAACTTTCAGTCCTTACCACTTTCACCAGTTTTTTGCAAGCAGAAGAATTTATGTGCTGCAAATAGACTTACTCGCATTAGACAGTTAAGCTATGATCTAATATTTGGTCTATTGGTTTGACAATTTAATCTTGATTTGAGAACCCCCCACACACACTTTGAATATGAGACATAAGAGAAGCATCCAGTCATGAATGGAGACCTTCTGGTGTGAGAAATCAAGTGTTAAAGCTCATCAGTCTGTGAATAATGAGGTTACTGTGTTTAAAGTACTTTATCTGTGTGGTGTTCCTCAGGGACGGAGTCTAAGCCTCTTTAGGTTCTGTCTGTGGAGATGGAGTAATGACCAGGATCTCATCACCTTTCTGGTACCTTGATTAGCACCACTCAGTAGATGAGACAGATACTGAAATGAATGCACTAATCAAGCACTGTTTTCACTAAACTACACAGAAAAAATCACTCCATTCACAGCCTGTTCTACACACCTCCATCATGCTGAGCTTTTCAGTCCAGCCCACACTCAGTTACTGCTACACATATCGATTAAAAACACTAAGAAGTGGAACATGAAAGATGTAGATGGCTAATTAATTACGTTAAAGAGGTTAATGAGGTTTAGAATCAGCATTCTGAGAGTGATGTCAGTTTTTCTCTGAGATGTAGAGTGTTTATGTATGACCAGGCCTGCTAGCTCTGCTAATGCTAATGCTGTAAATGCGCTCTGTGTAACCAGACTGAGGTCCTACTCTGTTTCCGCTGAATCATTTTGGTTACTGTCCCTCATCTGTATTCATGAATACAATATAAACACTGATAGTTTATATTTAGGTTTAGCATTTAGCATTAAGCTAAGCTCAGAGTCAACACATTAAACCAGTTTAACCCACTCAGAGTTGAATAATACAGCCTAATTACTGAACCTACAGCACACAGATCGCTACACACAGTGAGGGTCACTGTGAGAGCTAGAAAACAGTAAGATACAGTGGATGACCGGCAGAGCACATTACGTAGATGATCCCTCCCAGAGCACCTGTCCTAAAAAGTGTTACCTGAACACTTCACTTCCTGTCTCGTGAGTGGCAATCATGGGGGTCCAAGCACCGTAAACCCAATGAGGCCTGATGAGGCCCTGGTGTTTATAAACATCAACACTCTGGATGTGTCTCAAAACCTAGAGAGCTCTCTACATAGACAGCATTTTACGTCACAATATGCACACTCCCGACAAGAATGCTGTCCCAATTCCTAGATACCTCAAATGTGCTGCCTACTAAGGTATCTCATTTTGGCCAAATAGCAAGAGAGCATCAGATGTTTCCTCAGCCGCTGAGGCAATTCTGCGATGCAACGTGCCACAACTTTTGTGGATCCACATGGTGGATGGAAGTGGTTCGGCAAGCATTGAAGTCATCTTCAAATGTAAGTTATTCTGATTTTCTGTGGTTTTTTTACCTGTGAAGGCTAACTATTTACCTGTTATAAAGCTGCACAAATAGCCTACAGTTTGCAATTTAGGTCCATCAGTGACTATTTTACAGTTTTTGGAACACCAATCCTTTAGCATGCATGCTAGCTGATTTTAAAGCCTTAGGCTTATTATTCTGAAGAGCCAGTTAGCTAACAGACTTGCTGGATAATGACCAAGTAGCTTAACTAGCGACAGGTTTTGTCAAACGTTAACTAATGACGAGGTAGCGTGATCTAATTGTTGAGCCGGTCGTTCATGTCTTGAATGATTTGGCAGAATAATGAGGGTTGAATTGTGCTTTTCTGTAAATTGCTAGCAGTAAGAGGGCTAGCTATTTAGTTCTCTGTGTTCGCATACACAACTCATTTCCCCTTTTTCAGGGACCAGATCAGCACTCAAAGCCTTCATAAAGGCTTGTATAGAGAGAGAGGCTGTGTACCGGGGAGAAAAACTCTGCTTTGTCAGCTAGGAAGTAAGAAAGGTAGGGTGTTGGATCAGGGGTTTTCAAATCTTATTCACAAAGGCTGTAGTTGCAGGTTTTCATTGGAAACAAGCAGCAGCTCCCCTGATTCCTCTTAATCAGGAAATCAATTAATCAGGAAAACCTGCAGCCACACTCTGCAGATACGATTAGACACTAAGGAGTTAGTCATGCACGCTCAGTTATACAATAAATTATATAATAGTATAAAATGTAACATTAGCTAATCATAACTCAAAACTAAGTAGAAGTAATTTGCTTGTGTGATTGAACACTTTCCTAATCTGGTTAGAATTTTAGCTGAATAATGTTTTAATCTGTCTTTACTTATTCTCTAAGAAAGTTAAAACCCCTAATTTGATTTTGTTTCTTAGGACTATCCTTTGTAATTTGGGCTACAGGAAAAGGTGGCACAACCTAAAAAAGAAATACAAGGTAAGTTCCAGATTTTAAGACAGAGGTGAAGATTAATAGTATATTTGTACTGTAATTAAAAAAATTAAGAATTCAGCTATGCAAAAGAAAGCAAACTGAGGTTAGATTACAGATTTGCATTTATTTTAGAAACTGAAGTCTCTACCGTTCAGAAGTGGGACTGACAACCATCACAACCTTGTATGATATGGAGAAAGGGTTTAGTGCTCTAAAGCAGCAAGTAGCACTTTAATTCTTAAATTCAGCATTTTACCACAACTGTCGTCTATAGTTTTCATTCAGAGCAAATACAATTAAAATCGCTATATAAACCGCCAGAGCATGATCCATGGTGGTAAAATGCTGATGTGATTCTGATGGCTGAGGTCAGTAAACAGGAACAAGTGGGAACAAGTGGTGACGTCATTGCTGTCTAACTAGAGCATCTCATTTATCTGTCTTATAAGGAGAGATGATGGTTAGAATGCTGCCGACTTAGACAGCTGTCTATGTAGAGAGCGGCTACTAAGAGAGCTCGCTAGGTTTTGGGACACACCCAATGTATTCTGCCGCAGCCTACTCTACAAAACAGAGATGTCCTGTTTCTCCTCCTTCTCTCTTTCTCCTCCTCCCTCTGTGGCACTTTAATGGAAAGACCAGGAAGTGACTCACTTAGTTCAGAAAACACAAACCAGACCTCAGACTTCTGGTCTCTCTCTCTCTTTCTTTCTCTCTCCCCTTGCAGAGAGACCTTCACTCCGAGGCCTGTTCTACGCAGAAACAACATTATGGCTGAAATGTTGAAGAAACTGAAGAACACAGAAGTCCGAGCTGCTCCTCCTGCTGGATCTGGAGATGCGGAGTGTGATTTCTGCACTGGGAGGAAACGCAAAGCTGCAAAATCCTGTCTGACGTGTCTGGTCTCCTTTTGTGAAGATCATCTTAAACCTCACTATGAAGTTCCTCCTTTAAAAAAGCACAAGCTGGTCAAAGCGTCCACACGACTACAAGAGAAGATCTGCTCTCAACACAACAAACTGATGGAGATCTACTGTCGCACTGACCGAAGCTGCATCTGCTATTTGTGTACAGTGGATGACCACAAAGGCCACGATACAGTCTCAGCTGCAGCAGAGAGAACCCAGAAACAGGTGAGAACTACAGACCTTCTGGATCTAAATGAAGCTAAACTGCATCAGCTGAAGGATTTAAACTGTCTCAGTTCTTGAGTTTAATGGGGTTTGTGTGTAAAGAATGTGTGTAAAGTGTTGTGGATGAGGAAGTGTTGAATAAACTCTTTCTTCCTCAGCAATAGTAATAAAGTCAGAGCAGTCTGTGAATGTTTTACCAGCCAACACCCTCTTCAGCCTTATAGTGCTCACATGATGGTGTGAAAGCTCTGTAGAACAACAGTGAACTTCACTACTGGGTCACTCCACACTGACTCACCTACAGCAGTTCCAGACATGTCCTGGATTTACATGAAACTGTTCAAGCAGAAAGTAAGTTCAGTCAATTTGGGATAACATAAAAACAGCCTAGCAAAACCTCAGGAACTGCCTGGGATTGTATAGCAATGGTCTAATCTAGCAATGGTTTACTCTTTTTAGGCCAGATTGTGCAATAATTCATCATTGTAATTTAATCTTTCAGTCAGTTTTCAAAATTATTTTTGCAAAATTAAGGTTTTACATAGTATTTGTATATTTCTATAAAAAATGTGAATTATTACCAAAAACAGAAACAGGGTCAAGCCAGTAATCACAATATTGAGAGGACAGGACAAAAAGGTGAGGTCAAAGAAAACAAAGCAAGGTTCATTCACAAAATGGCAAACAGACACAATGGAAGGCTCAGTAAGGCTCTGATAACAAGGGCAATGTGCAATATGCTAAGCTAAAGCCCAGGTTTATATACTGAACCAGCAGGTAACCATAACAAGGAACAGATCTGAGTGATCAGTAGTCAGTTGTGGAAGAACGTTGGAGAGTCATGTGAGGGAGGTTGGTGGTCATGTGATCAGGAGTGGGGTTCTGGGTAATGGAGTCCGGAGGCTGGTAGGCAGAGACAGCAAAAACGGAGGGAAACGTAACAGTACCCTCCTGAGGAGTCAGGCGGTAATCACTCTACAGAAAGTAAAACAAAGTAAAAATAATAATACAAGAAAATACTAAAACTGAAATATATTAAATATACACAAAATATACACAGAATATAGAGACAGGAGGGACCTATGTAAGGAGAAAAGAATCCTCTCTGCTATGTACAAATATATTTATATTAAACAAGGGATAATCTGTGAACAGTATATACATTTTAAAGTGATTTATTACTTATTACTAGTGTTATTGTTATTTAAAGTGACAGTGTTTAAAGTGTTATTGTCCATAGCAGTCATATGATACAATAATAATACTGACAGAGTGACTGAGTGAAATGGAAGTTGGTGAAGGACCCACAGCCTCACAGCTTGTTCAGATGTCTGACAGCCTGTGGGTAGAAACTGTTCATTAACCGTGTTGTTCTAGCCTGAATGCTGCGGAATCTCCTGCCTGATGGCAGGATGGTGAACAGGCTGTGTGCTGGGTGACGCTGTCAGACCGGATCTTTTTGGTCTTCCTGAGGCAACAGGACTGGTAGACGTCCTGTAAGGCTGGTAGTTTGTTGCCTATGATGGCTTCTGCCGTCCTCACCACTCCTTTAGGGCCCTGCGGTCGCAGGCGGTGCAGCTCCTGCACCAGGCAGTGATGCAGCCTGTGAGGAAGCTCTCTATGGTGCATCTGTAGAAGTTGGTGAGGATCTGAGGAGGCAGACCAAACTTCCTGAGCCTGCGCAGGAAGAAGAGACACTGACGGGCAGATCTCACAATAGTGTTGGTGTGGAGGGACAAGGTGAGGTCATCAGTGAGGTGTATGCCGAGAAACGTCACCCTGCTGACTCTCTCCACTTCGGCTCCATTGATGAACAGGGAAGATGGACCTGAAGTTTTGAATAAACCTATGATAAAAATTGGCAGATTCTAAAAATCTCTGCAGTTCTTTTACTGATGTGGGGATGAACCAGTTAACCATAGCCTCTACCTTGTGATCATCCATGACCACCCCAGAGGCACTAATGACAAAAAGAAAGAGACAGTTTGCATAGCAGTTTGCCTTTTACATTTCTCTCCTTTCACATACAGCTGATTATCCAATAGCCTGCGAAGTACCTGACAAGCATGCTTAATGCGGGTTTCCAAATCAGGGGAATAATCTAGGATATCATCTGTGTATACAATGACAAACCTCCCAATCATGCCCCGTAGGACATCATTAATGAGCAATTGGAACACAGAGGGGGAGTTAGGGAGTCCGAAAGGCATAACTTGGTACTCATGATGACCTCTAGAGGTCACAAAAGTGGTTTTCCAATCATCTCCTTCTCCGACTCAAATTAGATTATAAGCACTGTAGAGGTCTAGCTTAGTAATGATCGGCTCCTCTAAGCTGTTCAAGGGCAACAGATGGATTGACATAGCAATTAGTTGATCTAAGGTCAGTTCATCATCTCTACATGCTAGTTGTGTTAACATGTCTGAATTCAGTCCAGGGCATACACGGCCACTGAACGATTACCTTGACGGAGGTGGAATAGGAGTTGACCACTAGAGCGTCCCTTACGAGGGTGATCAAAAACATTGCAGAAGTCTGTCAAAAAACTGTTCATATGATTTATCCGTAACATAACTCCAGACTGCTGTAGCCCACTCCAAAGCCTTATAGGACAGCAACCAAAAATGATATTTAAGCCTGATCAGAGCTAGGGGTAGAATTGCTGAAAAACACTGAGCATTGTAGCAAAAACCCACAACATTTCTCAGGGTTTCCAACAAATTTGTCGGGCTTACTAAGAGAAAAAGTACTGAGCCCCTCGTAAGAACTAGTTGATTCCGAAACACTACCAGACAGATGTTGAATCTGGGTAGACAGAGCTTTAACCCCAGTGATAAGCTGAGCCAATTGAGTCTGTTGCTCACCCTGTTGTGATTTTAACTCACCGATAGACTGAGTGAAATCAAAGAGAAACTGGTTGTGTTGTCCGAGGAGCTGGCCCTGAGTGTTAACGGCCATCTGGACAACGTTGAGGTCTGCCGTCTGTATGATGGCGACAATATCAGATCAATTGTATCAATCATATCAAATTGATTACAGACAAGCTCTAATTACTTCCTGGTTTAGTATTTGTTTGAAAATGAGTTATTTGACTGAAGAAGCTCAGAATAAATAAAGCTCTAAAAAGGAAATCACAGGATTTACAAATCAACTTTCATAAACTACAGAAAAGTGCTGTAAACTGAAGTGTCTTTATGAAAATCCATGACGTGAGTGCAAAGGGACGACGTGAGCCCTTCTTGAACTCACATTACTCCAAATGTTTGTAGGTGATAATATACAATGTGGGGCGGCAACTGACTAAACTTTGACTTATGAGTTTTAGGTCAACAGTCACATCAGTTATTTTTGAGAGGGCAAAGGTCACACGTGTTAGTAACTAGTAGTTTAGTTAGTAATGAATTTAACCTGTTTGATGTTAATAAATAGCAGAGGTGTGTCCTGCGGGGGCGTGTCCAGGCGTAGGTTAAAGGTCACCTACGTCTGGTGTTAGATTAATGTTTAGGAAGGTCAAAGTTCACACATGGAAGGTATCAGCACCGTTTATTAATTTGTGATCTTAAAAATAACCCACCCTGGTTCCATCATCCAGACCCTCTTTTTCTCTCTTTTACTTATAATTATAGTTTCTATTGATTTTATGTTACTGCAAACAATACTACAGCTAAACCCAATCCTGACCTTAAACTCAGTATTTAAAAGAAATTCTCCAAAAAAGTAATTTGTGGTGACAACAATGTGCTCACTTGAGCAAAAATGTCATGTCTTCATGTTAATCCAAATGTCTGTAGGTGTTGGTTCCCAGTCATAAAGTGTGTTTGTTGACAGAGGGAGCTGGAGGAGTTGCAGAGAGACGTCCAGCAGAGGATCCAGGAGAAACAGAAGAAGCTGCAGGAGCTGGAACAGGCTGTGAACAGTCTTAAGGTGAGGACTGAGCAGAGATTGGATATTTCAGAGCTCAGTCAGGTTCTCCTCCAGTCAGACAGTGAGGAGCTCAGTGTTGGACACTCTGGGATTAAATTCACACACTTTCTCCTCCCATTACACCAAATGGAGTCCAGCACACAAGACACGTTTGGGCTCTGAAGGTTCAGCACTGGAGCTACAAGGCTAATGTAGCTAATAAGCTGATACTGTACTCTACCAGTTAGCACGTAAAAGTGTGTTAGCATAGCTGAAAGCAGTAGCAGCCGTCCAGAAGTCTCACTTTCGTCTGTGTCTCTGTACCATTTTTATAGATCACAGTGAGTCATAGAATATTTCTAGTGTTACTCCACAGTTTAGCTACATTAGCCTCACAGCTCCAGTGCAGACCTGAGTAATCAAACTTCAGACACTAAACCCGTCTGAACTGATGGACTACACTGACTGTGAGGAGTGAAAGTGTGTAATGAGATGTTCTACTGAAGTCCTCCTTTAAATGGAGCTCTATATGTGCTCTCTGTATGTGCTCTAACAGCGCTGTGCTCAGACAGCAGTGGAGGACACTGAGAGGATCTGGACTGAACTGATCTGCTCCATTGAGAAAAAGCGCTCTGAGCTAACAGAGCTGATCAGAGCTCAGGAGGAGGCTGAACTGAGTGCAGCTGAAGAACTCCTGGAGAAACTGGAGCAGGAGATCGCTGATCTAAAGAGAAGAAACACTGAGCTGGAGCAGCTTTCACTCACAGAGGATCACATCCATTTCCTCCAGGTAACAATCACTGATCTACAGAGGAACCTGTTCATCATCAACTTCATCAAACTCCTCTCAGCTAAAGTTCATGAAGACAGTAATAAACAGAGCTCTGTCTGATCACTCGCTCATCTTTAGTCTGATTTGGTCTGATCTGCTTCATTCCTCTTTTTCTCCATTCTGTTTTTCCTCTGTGTAGAGTTTTCAGTCTCTGAGCGTCTCTTCTGGATCTGAGGACTCCTCCAGCATCTCTGTCCATCACCATCTCTCATTTGATGGAGTGAGGAGCGCTCTCTCTGATCTGAAGGAGAGACTAGAGGAGTTCTGCAGAGAGGAGTTCAGGAAAATCCCTCCACAGGGTAAGAGGAGCTTCCTGCTGGCTCTTCTATTCTATTCTATTCTATTCTATTCTATTCTATTGATGTGGTCCTGTGTGTTCTTGTGTCTCCACAGCTGCAGCAGATCCTTTATCACTCTCAGAACCAAAGAGCAGAGAAGATTTTCTACAGTGTAAGTTGAGCCTTTAGGCAGCGTCTGAAATTCTCACTGTAGAGACGTTAAAGTTGAAAATAAACACAACAAACACAACGTTTTTCTTCTAATAAGAACTTTCTGTGAACACAAACATAAACTGATTATTTTCTTTATTTTATTGTGATTTTATTTAGATTTCTGTCAGCTGACTCTGAATCCTAACACAGCACATCATCAACTCATCCTGTCTGAGAGCAACAGAGTGGTGAAGTGGAGTCATGTAGTCCAGAGTTACTCTGATCATCCAGAGAGATTTGACTGCAGGTCTCAGGTGCTGAGTGTGGAGAGTCTGAGTGGACGCTGTTACTGGGAGGTTAAGCAGAACGGACCTGTGAAAATATCAGTCTCATATAAAAAGATCAGTAGGAAAGGACGGGGTGATGAGTGTTTGTTTGGACATAATGATCAGTCCTGGAGTCTGTGCTTTTCTTCTTCTCTGTTTTCTCTCTCTTTCTGGCACAACAAAAGTAAAACTAAGCTCCCAGCAGCTTTATCCTCCACAATAGGAGTTTATGTGGATCACAGTGCAGGAATTCTGTCCTTCTACAGCGTCTCTGACACAATGACCCTCCTACATACAGTCCACTCCACATTCACTCAGCCTCTCTACGCTGGGTTCTGGGTTTCTGGAGGGTCATCTGTGAAGTTGTGTGATAAAAATGATGGTGTTGATTGTGGCTGATGGTCTGTGAATCCTGTTTGTGCTCTCATCATCCCTTTTTCCTCATCTAATTATATCTGATCAGAGTCTATTAATAGTGATTATCCTCTAATAATCTCAGGCTTATTACATTCTAAAGCTTATTATTCATTAACTACATGAACTACAGTGATAACTGACTGAGTTATTCTTAGGTTATAGAAGTGTGTAATAAAGGTTCGGACCTGCTGGTCACCTACAATCCACACATGGATGATGGACTTTTTCACACTTTTCTAATGAACAAGAAACCAGTGAAACTACTGACCTGGATTAGGTGACCATTCAGCCTTCAGCAGTTTAGCCCCACCCACTCCTGCTGAAGTGATACGGAGTATTGTTACTGCACTTTCAGCTCAGACTGTTTTTGAACAAAGCACCAGGACAGCCAATCATATCAGAGCTCATTTACATGTATCAGTTTTCAAGGCACAGTAACAAAATTAGCCTGTTTAATTCTAAGAGAGGTTTCAAAATGATTATTAAATATGGATAATTACCGTTTCAGTTACAGAAAACGAAATGAATAAAATACAGTAAAAATATAGAATATTTGTTGTTTAAAATGAAGTTGTTTAGTCATAAATTTGTACAAACCTCACGGCTTCATTACACCTTTAAACTTGATCTGCTAAATTATCATAAAGCTGATGTTATTATAAAGTCACCATGACGACCATCATGAGCCCATTACACTGAGAATAGCAGTGTAGCTGTTAAAGCTATTTGAGGTTAAAGTCTTCAGTAGAGAGTCTTCAAGGGTTAAAGTCATTACACTCAGTGTTTTAGTGAAGCGGCTCCTCAATGTGAACAAAGCTGTGCTCACATTTGTCTTTGTGAATATTGTCATTTTTCATATATAGTGTATTTTTCTTCTCTGAAATGTGGTGCAGGTTGTGTTTTATCTGGGAGATTATAATCATACATTTATTTTCCTCATAATAATGTTTAGTCAGAAATGAGCTGCAGAGAATCTCTAGCTTAGAGAATCTGCTTGCTGTTCTTATTCAGCACCAGCAGGGGGCAGTGTGAGGAGATGGTTTTCATTAAGCTGATCGTTTTGTCGAGATCTAAGTTTCTGATTGAAATGAGGAAACTAAGCCTCGCTGAGGGTCGCTGGCTAATGGCCCCATCACACATCTTTAGTTAGAGAGCTGATGTTAGCGCTGGACACACGTTTCCCCCACTGACCGATGATTCTTATTGTTTTATTAGCTTTGATCTGAAACTGTTTTTGTTTGTTTGTAAAAGAATGTCTAATAAACACCTGCAGAGAACTCCTGTCGTCCTGCCTCATCATTTCTCTCCTGGATCTCAGGAAAGTATCGGTTCTGCTGGTTCTGTCATGCTGTACCTGTAACAGGAACCGAGCATTTTCAGCAAAGCTGCTCTTCTTTCTCTGAATCTACTGACATTCAGAATCCTCAGCTGAATAGACTCTCTTTCATTCTGTGTTCTCTCTCTGAGTTTAACTCCTCCTCCTGCTTCCACGCTCTGAAACGCTGATCTGCTCTAAACTAAAGCAGAGCTGGAAAAGTCCAGGTGTGCAGAGAGCTAGCTTAGCGCTAACTGTGCTAATGTGTGACTGATTAAAATGACCAGTCTGGAGAGAATCATCCTCCACTGGAGGAGCTGAATGCTCTGATATTGTCTGAATGTCTGTATTGCTGTATATGAATGTGCGAGTAGCCCCAGTGCTAAAGATCTAAAGAGGTAAATGTAAGACAGTAAACATGTCTGAGCTGATCGACTGCAGATGGGGGTGAAAAAGGAAATACAGGCGTCTACTAGTCATAAACAGGGTTACGTGTACGTGTTCCAGCACACTGTGCACTACAGCTTTTTGGTGTCCCTCTAAAGGGATCCGACCTGCTACAAACACTCGTAACCCAGTAACTCAGATGTGGTGACAGCAGCAGCACTTGTGGAACAGTATGGCTGGTTTGCTCAACAGGAAGTGCAGGAACTCTAGTAGGAGCACTTTTGCTCAAGAGGACACACAGCAACCTCCTATACTCCAATAGGAGCTCCCCTTCCCATGATGCCCTGCTGGAATTAATCCAGCTACTCTGGAGCTGGAAGGTCTGAGGGCTCTCAGAGGGTGACCTTTCACTGAGCGGCTGACTCTGAGGCAGGAGAGGCTGGAGGAGAAAAGGAACTCCAGTTAATCACAGAGAATAACAGGAGAGTCAGAGCTGAAGGTTCTTCATCTCCCACAGACAGTTGGGCCTGATGGAACGTAGCTCTGATGGTACCTGGAGGTGAGAAACACTGAGAGAAACTGTTCCTGAACATCTGCTGCCTCTGGACAAGGAAATCCCCCTGTGAAATAAACATGTCTGATGAGGGTTTTATAGGTACTTTTATTTTGACATCTCCCCCCATCTGGGCTAATTATGGTAACACCTGCTCATGAGGTTTCACTGAATCAGTCAATGGATTGGAAGAGGGATATATGTACGTACATGAAGGGGTAGAAAGAAATAAGTGAGCAGACAAGCTAGTAAAACAGGCCCCCACAGAGAACCAAAAATCTTGGGGTGTGAGTCTGTAGGTGGCATAGTTGGGTCTAGAGTTTCAGCTTCTCCTATAGTCAGTGTTGGAGCTGCTCAGGCTCTGTCTGTCACACGGACGCACAGATTTACTCACTTTATTAGATTAAGATTAAGATTAAGTGACCCTTATTAGTCCCACAATGGGGAAATTTCACCTCCACGGTCTAACCCAGCCGTGCAGTGAAACACCACATACACACTAGTGCACACACACACACTAGGGGGCAGTGAGCACACTTGCCCGGAGCGGTGGGCAGCCCTATCCACAGCGCCCGGGAGCAGTTGGGGGATAGGTGTCTTGCTCAAGGGCACGTCAGTCATGTACTGTCGGCTCAGGGAATCGAGTCCATAACCTCCAGCCCACGACTGCCAAGGCTGGTTCCCTAACCTCCAGCCCATGACTGCCCCCATCTCAGACACATACACGTTATAGTAGTAACATAACACAGTCACATGTAATCTGTTCCTCATTTGATGAAGGGAAATCACTAATGCGCTGTTTGCTGTTTTGCTTAGCTTGTTTAACCTTAAATGATGGTGATGAAAGAAAGAGTTACAGTGTTGCTAATGCAGCTACACATCAAATGAAAGAAAGCTAATACCACTTAAACTCAGCTCGAACGCTTATAATGTTAACTGGTCTAAGACGAGGTAGAGAGGCGGAGATGAGGTCACGCTCGTTAACGCTAGTTTAAGGGTTAAACAGTTAACGAATCAGACGTTTATGTTTGTAAATGAACACACGACACTGACTGTGAGTTCTAACCTAAATGTGAAGCTTTAGAACCAAATATGTCCTTTGAAGCCAGCAGTAAGTGAACACTGTGCAGAGTGTCCTGTGGGTCTGGATTAGCATTCTAACCCCTGAGAGATGCTAAACTGTTCTGGATCTTCATTAATGTGTGTGTTACTGATCGTCTGAAACACGGATTAACCTCCTCTTCTGGGTTAGAGGAGCCACCAGGCCTACAGGTCAAACCCGGAGAAATGGATGGGGCCCCAGAGGGCTGATCATGTGGAGTGGAGGGAATGAAGAAGATGTTATTGAGGACTGTCTCTGCTGGGACGCAGGACCCGGTGACAGATGAGTGAAGGTGTAGGATGATGATGAGTCTGAAGACGGAGCTGCAGGAGCTGCAGTTCTCCATCAGCTTCTGGAGAGGAAAAGCGTCTAGAACAGAAATCGCTCCCCTGAACGGACAGAGTTCTGCTGGATTTGACACACAGGTGGAGCGTCTGTCAGGAAAACGCTGGAATGACTGAGACTCATGGGCTCCACGCTAGACGTGTTTTATATGTTGGAGGAAAAGAAAGAAAAGCTCTGTCTTATTTATCACTTTACAGCAGAAACAAGCCGTAATTTCATCAACCTGCTCATCATCTGTAAGTGTAAACCATTGATGAGGGAATGGAGCTGAATCTCTATCAGCAGCAACACAGATTACACTCTCATATGAGGATTATGATTCTATTATACAGCTGATTATGATCTTTCAGTCTCAGCTGTACCTGATTATCACACTGCAGATTTAAAGGAAAGTCTACTGCTGCACTCTGAGAGCTGAAAGTGCTGCAGGTCCTAATCAGAGGATCAGGAGCTGAGAGTGCAGGTCTGACAGTGTGGGGTCTAAAGCTGTGGTGCTGCGGTTCTGCAGATGGATGCTGCTGCTTTCCGGCGCCAGCGTTCCTGAACTCCATCGGCCGCAGGGAGAACGAGACGGTTCCCAGCCTGAGACCCAGAGGAGCCCTGAGTTTAGAGGTTCCTTGGAGTCGCTGTGGTGCGAGTGTTTCTGTTGCCATGCAATCCTTGCAGTGTTTCTCCTTCTCCATTCGTACAGCTGGTCTGTCGTTCTAACAGAGCCTTGATTGGATTCCAGAGTTCTTTCCTCACCAGCTGGAGTTCCCAGTTCTCCTCCGTCATTCAATCAAGGGTTTAAACAGTGAGGAAGTAGAACCAACTAGAAAAGTGTGTTTCCTGTAGAAAATGCAGAGAGACTGTGCAGCTTAATCGATTCGAGAACGTTTGCTAAGGTTTTGTCAGGTGGTTGCTATGGTATTTTATAGAGTGTTTATAGGTAGATGCTGTGGAATTCCAGGTGGTCACTAAGTTGTCGCTAGGTGGTTGACATGGTATCCCAGGGGGTTGCTAAGGTGTTGCTAGGTGGTTACTATGGTATCCTAGGACATTTTTAGGGTGTTGCTAGATGTTGGTTAGAGTATCCCAGTAGGTTGCTAAGGTGTCGATAGGCAATGGCTATGGTATCTAAAGTCATTGCTAAAGTGTTGCTAGGTGGTTGCTGTGCTGTCCCATGTGGTTGCTAAATTGTTGCTAGGTGGTTGCTGTGGTATATCAGGTGATTGCTATGGTATTTGAGGTGGTTGCTAGGTGGTCTGGTATTCCAGAAAATTGCTAAGGTTTTGCTAGGTGGTTCCTATGGTATCCCAGGTGGTTGCTAAGTTGTTGCTAGGCAGTTGCTATGGTATCACAGGTGGTTGCTAAAGTGTTCCTAAGCAGTTGCTATGGTATCCAAAGAGGTTGCTAAGTTGTTGCTAGGTGGTGGTCACGGTATCCCAGGTGGTTGCTAAGGTATTGCTAGGCAATGGCTATGGTATTCGAGGTCATTGTATAGGTGTTCCTTGGTGGTTGCTATGGTACCCCAGGTGGTTGCTAGGTGGTATCCCTTGTGTTTGCTAAATTGTTGCTAGTGGTTGCTGTGCTATCCCAGGTGGTTGCTATGGTATCTGAGGTGGTTGCCATGCTGTTGCTACAGTATTCCAAGCAATTGCTAAGGTGTTGCTAGGTGGTTGCTATGATATCCCAGGTGGTTGATAAGTTGTTGCTAGGCAGTTGCTATGGTTTCACAGGTTGTTGCTAAAGTGTTCCTAAGCGGTTGCTATGGTATTCCTGGCGGTTGCCAAGGTTGCCAAATGTGTGTCAACCGCAAATATCAGCTCTCTAACTAAAGATGTGTGATGGCGCCATTAGCCAGCAAACCTCAACGAGGCTTAGTTTCCGCATTTCAAACAGAAACTTACATCTCGACAAAACGATCAGCTAAATGAAACCGTCTCCTCACACTGCCCCCTGCTGGTGCTGAATAAGAACAGCAAGTAGATTCTCTAAGCTAGAGATTCTCTGCAGCTCATTTCTGACTAAACATTATTATGAGGATAATAAATGTATGATTATAATCTCCCAGATAAAACACAACCTCCACCACATTTCAGAGAAGAAAAATACAACATATATGAAAAATGACAATATTCACAAAGACAAATGTGAGCACAGTTTTGTTCACATTGAGGAGCCGCTTCACTAAAACACTGAGTGTAATGACTTTAACCCTTGAAGACTCTCGACTGAAGACTTTAACCTCAAATAGCTTTGATAGCTACACTGCTATTCTCAGTGTAATGGGCTCATGATGGTCGTCATGGTGATTTTATAATATCAGCTTTATGTTACTTTAGCAGATCAAGTTTAAAGGTGTAATGAAGCTGTGAGCTTTGTACAAATTTATGACTCAACAACTTCATCTTAAACAGCCAATATTCTACATTTTTATAATATTTTATTAATTTATAAATTGTGTATGTTTTTGTAACTGAAACAGTCATAATTCGTATTTAATGATCATTTTGAAACCTCTCTTACAAATAAACAGGCCTTTTTGGTTACTGTGCCTTTAAGACTACCATATGTAAATGAGCTTTGTTCTGACTGACAGTCCTGGTGTCTCAGTACAGTCTGAGCTGAAAGTACAGCAACAACACTTCAGTCATTTCATCAGGAGTGGGTGGGGCTAAACTGCTGAAGGCTGAATGGTCACCTAATCCAGGTCAGTAGTTTCAGTGGTTTCTTGTTCATTAGAAAAGTGTGAAAAATCCATCATCCATGTGTGGATTGTAGGTGACCAGCAGGTCCGAACCTTTATTACACACTTCCTTAACCTAAGAATAACTCAGTCAGTTTACACTGTAGTTCATGGTTCCGGCGGCGTGGCAGGTAGCTGCAGCAGCCACTTCGGGGAACAGCAAAACGGTGCCTTTTTTGCTGTTTTTTGTCTACTATCTTTCGTGTAACCCAACCAAATCTATATTTCATGACTGCGTCAACCAGCACCAGTGTCTACCATCGCCAGAGCCTGCTACAGCTGAGAAATCAGCCTCAATCTCAATCTCTACTTCCAAACAAACTGCAGGAAGAGCTGCACGAGCTAGGCCTGCTAAGATCCACGGCGCTGCGTGAGCCTGCTGGCTGAAAGCGATGCGTGAGAAGGTGGAAGCGAGGCAAGCAAGGCGGGGTACGCGCTAGGCTAATGGCTAATCCAGACGACCAGCTGTTCCATCGCTTCTTCTATCAAACGTTTGTTCCTTGGAGAATAAACTGGACTACCTCTGGATTCAGTGGGCTACCCAGCGTGAGTTCAGAGACTGCTGTGTTTTCGTTTTTACAGAGACATGGATGATGAGCTCCACTCCGGACTTCAGCTCGATGGCCTGTTGTGCTTCCGTGCGGACAGAGACGCTGAGCTGTACGGTAAGACCCGAGGTGGGGGACTGTGTGTTTACATCACCGCCGCACTGAATGAGCTGTACAGCGCTATCAGCAATCTGCAAAACACACGCCCAGACGGACTGTTTATTGTCGCTGGAGATTTCAACCATGCCAATCTGAAGTCAGTGCTCCCCAAATTTCACCAGTATGTGGACTGGCAACCCGGGGGGCTAACATGCTGGATCTTCTTTACACAAACATCCCCGGCGCATACAGGGCTGAGCCCTGCCCCCACTACAGCTACTCAGACCACATCTCTGTGATGCTCATTCCAGCATACAGACCGCTCATCAGACATGCCAAACCAGACCAGAAGCAAGTGAGAACCTGGCCACCAGGAGCTATGTCTGCTCTGCAGGACATTTTTGCGCACACTGACTGGGAGATGTTCAGAGAAGCAGCAACCTCCGGCGACTCCATCAACCTGGAGGAGTATACAGAATCAGTGACTGGCTACATCAGCAAGTGCATTGATGATGTTACTGTCTCCAAACTCGTCACAACTCACCCCAACCAGAAACCATGGATGACTGCAGAGGTGCGCATGCTGCTGAGAACCCGCGGCAAGGCTTTCAAGTCAGGGGATGAGGCAGGCCTCAGGATAGCAAGAGCCAAGCTTTCCTGGGCCATCAAAGAGGCTAAGCGTGCCTACTCAAAGAAAATCCATGAACATTTTCAAAACACTGCTGACACACGGTCGCAGGGCATTCGGCCATCACCAATTACAAGTCACCTCCACCTGCTTGTGACAGTGATGCCTCCCTTCCAGACGTGCTAAACAACTTCTAGGCTCAGTTTGAAGCTCAGAACGGCACGACGGTGAGGAAAACCACACCTCCTCCAAGTGAACAGGTACTGTGTCTGTCCATAGCTGATGTGCGAAGAACTCTACACAGAGTCAACCCATGAAAAGCTCCAGGATCTGAAAGCATACCGGGCAGAGTGCTCAGAGAATGCACTGAACAGCTGGCTGATAACTGGGTCCTGGATTTCCTGACTAAGAGACCTCAGTTAGTCAGGATAGGTAATAATATCTCCAGCAACACCACACTGAGCACCAGTGCCCCTCAGGGCTGTGTCCTCAGGCGTCTCCTCCTCCGCTCTTTCTCCTCCTCCTCTGTAACACTTGAAACCAACAGAAAAAACAGGAAGTGACTCAGTTCAGAGAAAACGAAACTGATCGCAGAGTCTCCCTCTCTCTCTCTTTCTCTCTTTCTCTCTCTCAGTGTAGACACTCAGGAGAATGGCAGAGGCCAGTATTTCAGTAGATCAGAACCAGTTCAGCTGTACAGTCTGTCTGGATCTGCTGAAGGATCCAGTGACCGTTCCCTGTGGACACAGTTTCTGTATGGTGTGCATTAATGGCTGCTGGGATCAGGAGGATCAGAGGGGGCTCTACAGCTGCCCCCAGTGCAGAGAGACCTTCACTCCGAGGCCTGTTCTACGCAGAAGCTACTTTATAGCTGAAATGTTGGAGAAACTGAAGAAGACAGAAGACCGAGCTGCTTCTCCTGCTGGATCTGGAGATGTGGAGTGTGATTTCTGCACTGGAAGGAAACGCAAAGCTGCAAAATCCTGTCTGACGTGTCTGGTCTCCTTTTGTGAAGGTCATCTTCAACCTCACTATGAAGGTGCTGCTTGGAAAAGGCACAAGCTGGTCACAGTGTCCGCACGACTACAAGAGAAGATCTGCTCTCAACACGACAAACTGATGGAGATCTACTGTCGCACTGACCGAAGCAGCATCTGCTATTTGTGTGCAAAATATGAACACAAAGGCCACAATACAGTCTCAGCTGCAGCAGAAAGACCCCAGAAACAGGTGAGAACTACAGACCTTCTGGATCTAAATGAAGCTAAACTGCATCAGCTGAAGGATTTAAACTGTCTCAGTTCTTGAGTTTAATGGGGTTTGTGTGTAAAGAATGTGTGTAAAGTGTTGTGGATGAGGAAGTGTTGAATAAACTCTTTCTTCCTCAGCAATAGTAATAAAGTCAGAGCAGTCTGTGAATGTTTTACCAGCCAACACCATCTTCAGCCTTATAGTGCTCACATGATGGTGTGAAAGCTCTGTAGAACAACAATGAACTTCACTATTCTAAGGACTGGTGTGGAAGTGACAGGAAGATTAAAGTAGAATTGTTCCAAGGTGCTTTTAGTCAGTGTGGAATGACTAACCTACAGCATGTCCACTCAAAGCACCTTGGAACAATTCTACTTTAATCTTCCTGTCACTTCCACACCAGTCTTTTGAATTTGTACTGTCATATAAGAGCCATTATCCTTTAATCGAGTGTTTTTTTTCGCTGTACTGCTGTGGGAAGCACTGTATAATAATGTGTTAGCTTAGCCTGGGAGCCTCCAGCTTAAAACACTACAGAACACGTTCAATTTTGGATTTCTGTCAGTCCAACACCAAACAGTCACCCTCGCTGATATAACTTTGTATCGTCTATACTCGTAACAGCAGAGCGCCAGTTAGTCGAATCAAAACTGTACTACAGTGTTGGGACCTGTTTAGCTAAGCTAAGCTAGCTAGGAGAAAGGAGCCAGCCAGCATTAGCTTAGCTAGGATGCTACAGTTCGAGACACCACAGAACAGGTTTAGTTTTGGCTTTATGTCCCTCCAACACCAGCTGCTCGACTTTCTTTCCAATGATTCGAGTCATTATCATCTAAACCTGCGTCAGTAAAGCTTTTGTTAGTCAGAATCTGATCTGTTCTGTGGTGAATTCAATTTTTTTGGGTTTGTATAATACAGGATGCGATGGAACAATACCGCCATAAACCTACACATTTGAAACCAACAGAAAAACCAGGAAGTGGCTCAGTTCAAACTGTTCTGTGGCCCAGAGTACAGTTAGCTAACCATGCTGAAAACAATGCACTGACACTGTTTTTTAAGCATTTCATGTGCTCAGAACTTGATGAAGCTCCATGAGGTGAGTGGACAGGGACGAGGTGAGCTGGTGTGGAATGAACCTTCTTTAACGCACAGTAATCCAAATGTGTGTAGGTGATGATTCCCAGTCATAGTGTGTTTGTTGACAGAGGGAGCTGGAGGAGATGCAGAGAGAAGTCCAGCAGAGGATCCAGGAGAAGCAGAAGAAGCTGCAGGAGCTGGAACAGGCTGTGAACACTCTTAAGGTGAGGACTGAGCAGAGATTGGATATTTCAGAGCTCAGTCAGGTTCTCCTCCAGTCAGACAGTGAGGAGCTCAGTGTTGGACACTCTGGGATTAAATTCACACACTTTCTCCTCCCATTACACCAAATGGAGTCCAGCACACAAGACATGTTTGGGCTCTGAAGGTTCAGCACTGGAGCTACGAGGCTAATGTAGCTAACAAGCTGATACTGTACTCTACCAGTTAGCACGTAAAAGTGTGTTAGCATAGCTGAAAGCAGTAGCAGCCGTCCAGAAGTCTTACTTTCGTCTGTGTCTCTGTACCATTTTTATAGATCACAGTGAGTCATAGAACATTTCTACTGTTACTCCACAGCTTAGCTACATTAGCCTCACAGCTCCAGTGCAGACCTGAGTAATCAAACTTCAGACACTAAACCCGTCTTAACTGATGTACTAAATTGACTGTGAGGAGTGAAAGTGTGTAATGAGATGTTCTACTGAAGTCCTCCTTTAAATGGAGCTCTATATGTGCTCTCTGTATGTGCTTTAACAGCGCTGTGCTCAGACAGCAGTGGAGGACACTGAGAGGATCTGGACTGAACTGATCTGCTCCATTGAGAAAAAGCGCTCTGAGCTAACAGAGCTGATCAGAGCTCAGGAGGAGGCTGAACTGAGTGCAGCTGAGGAACACTCGGAGAAACTGGAGCAGGAGATCGCTGATCTAAAGAGGAGAAACACTGAGCTGGAGCAGCTTTCACTCACAGAGGATCACATCCATTTCCTCCAGGTAACAATCACTGATCTACAGAGGAACCTGTTCATCATCAACTTCATCAAACTCCTCTCAGCAAAAGTTCATGAAGACAGTAATAAACAGAGCTCTGTCTGATCACTCGCTCATCTTTAGTCTGATTTGGTCTGATCTGCTTCATTCCTCTTTTTCTCCATTCTGTTTTTCTCTGTGTAGAGTTTTCAGTCTCTGAGCGTCTCTTCTGGATCTGAGGACTCCTCCAGCATCTCTGTCCATCACCATCTCTCATTTGATGGAGTGAGGAGCGCTCTCTCTGATCTGAAGGAGAGACTAGAGGAGTTCTGCAGAGAGGAGTTCAGGAAAATCCCTCCACAGGGTAAGAGGAGCTTCCTGCTGGCTCTTCTATTCTATTCTATTCTATTCTATTCTATTGATGTGGTCCTGTGTGTTCTTGTGTCTCCACAGCTGCAGCAGCTCCTTTATCACTCTCAGAACCAAAGAGCAGAGAAGATTTTCTACAGTGTAAGTTGAGCCTTTAGGCAGCGTCTGAAATTCTCACTGTAGAGACGTTTAACGTTGAAAATAAACACAACAACAAACACAACGTTTTTCTTCTAATAAGAACTTTCTGTGAACACAAACATAAACTGATTATTTTCTTTATTTTTTGTGATTTTATTTAGATTTCTGTCAGCTGACTCTGAATCCTAAAACAGCACATCATCAACTCATCCTGTCTGAGAAGAAGAAAGTGGTGAAGTGGAGTCATGTAGTCCAGAGTTACTCTGATCATCCAGAGAGATTTGACCGCAGGTCTCAGGTGCTGAGTGTGGAGAGTCTGAGTGGACGCTGTTACTGGGAGGTTGAGCGGAGCGGACCTGTGAAAATATCAGTCTCATATAAAAAGATCAGGAGGAAAGGAGAGGGTAATAAGTGTGTGTTTGGACGTAATGATCGGTCCTGGAGTCTGTTTTGTTCTTCTTCTCTTCTCTCTTTCTGGCACAACAACATTAAAACCGCTCTCCCAGGAGATGCCTCCTCCACAATAGGAGTTTATGTGGATCACAATGCAGGAATTCTGTCCTTCTACAGCATCTCTGACACAATGACCCTCCTACATACAGTCCACTCCACATTCACTCAGCCTCTCTACGCTGGGTTCTGGGTTTCTGGAGGGTCATCTGTGAGGTTGTGTGATAAAAAATGATGGTGGTGATCGTGGCTGATGGTCTGTCAATCCTGTTTGACTAAGTTTCTGCTCTGATCATCCGTTTTTCCTCACCTAATTATATTTGATCAGAGTCTATTAATAGTGATTGTCCTCTTATAATCTCAGGTTTATTTCATTCAAAAGCTTATTATTCATTAACTACATGAACTACAGTGTAAACTGACTGAGTTATTCTTAGGTTATAGAAGTGTGTAATAAAGTTTGGACCTGCTGGTCACCTACAATCCACACATGGATGATGGACTCTTCAGTAGAGAGTCTTCAAGGGTTAAAGTCATTACACTCAGTGTTTTAGTGAAACAGCTCCTCAATGTGAACAAAGCTGTGCTCACATTTGTCTTTGTGAATATTGTCATTTTTCATATATAGTGTATTTTTCTTCTCTGAAATGTGGTGCAGGTTGTGTTTTATCTGGGAGATCATAATCATACATTTATTATCCTCATAATAATGTTTAGTCATAAATGAGCTGCAGAGAATCTCTAGCTTAGAGGATCTGCTTGCTGTTCTTATTCAGCACCAGCAGGGGGCAGTGTGAGGAGAGGGTTTTCATTAAGCTGATCGTTTTGTCAAGATATAAGTTTCTGATTGAAATGAGGAAACTAAGCCTCGCTGAGGGTCGCTGGCTAATGGCCCCATCACACATCTTTAGTTAGAGAGCTGATGTTAGCGCTGGACACACGTTTCCCCCACTGACCGATGATTCTTATTGTTTTATTAGCTTTGATCTGAAACTGTTTTTGTTGTTTGTAAAAGAATGTCTAATAAATAGCTGCAGAGAACTCCTGTCGTCCTGCCTCATCATTTCTCTCCTGGATCTCAGGAAAGTATCGGTTCCTGCTGGTTCTGTCATGCTGTACCTGTAACAGGAACCGAGCGTTTCAGCAAAGCTGCTCTTCTTTCTCTGAATCTACTGACATTCAGAATCCTCAGCTGAATAGACTCTCTTTCATTCTGTGTTCTCTCTCTGAGTTTAACTCCTCCTCCTGCTTCCACGCTCTGAAACGCTGATCTGCTCTAAACTAAAGCAGAGCTGGAAAAGTCCAGGTGTGCAGAGAGCTAGCTTAGCGCTAACTGTGCTAATGTGTGACTGATTAAAATGACCAGTCTGGAGAGAATCATCCTCCACTGGAGGAGCTGAATGCTCTGATATTGTCTGAATGTCGGTATTGCTGTATATGAATGTGCGAGTAGCCCCAGTGCTAAAGATCTAAAGAGGTAAATGTTAGATAGTAAACATGTCTGAGCTGATCGACTGCAGATGGGGGTGAAAAAGGAAATACAGGCGTCTACTAGTCATAAACAGGGTTACGTGTACGTGTTCCAGCACACTGTGCACCACAGCTTTTTGGTGTCCCTCTAAAGGGATCCGACCTGCTACAAACACTCGTAACCCAGTAACTCAGATGTGGTGACAGCAGCAGCACTTGTGGAACAGTATGGCTGGTTTGCTCAACAGGAAGTGCAGGAACTCTAGTAGGAGCACTTTTGCTCAAGAGGACACACAGCAACCTCCTATACTCCAATAGGAGCTCCCCTTCCCATGATGCCCTGCTGGAATTAATCCAGCTACTCTGGAGCTGGAAGGTCTGAGAGGGAGAGGTTTCACTGAGCTGCTGACTCTGAGGCAGGAGAGGCTGGAGGAGAAAAGGAATTCCAGTTAATCACAGAGAATAACAGGAGAGTCAGAGCTGAAGGTTCTTCATCTCCCACAGACAGTTGGGCCTGAAGGAACATAGCTCGGATGGTACCTGGAGGTGAGAAACACTGAGAGAAACTGTTCCTGAACATCTGCTGCCTCTGGACAAGGAAATCCCCCTGTGAAATAAACATGTCTGATGAGGTTTGTTTGTTTTTTGTTTTAGGTACTTTTATTTGACACCTTTCCTCATCTGGGCTAATTATGAACACCTGCTTATGAGGTTTCGTTGAATCAGTCAATGGATTGGAAGAGGGATATATGTATGTACATGTGGGGGTAGAAGGAAATAAGTGAGGAGACAAGCTAGTAAAAGTAGGATCTAGAGTTTCAGCTTCTCTTATAGTCAGTGTTGGAGCTGCTCAGGCTCTGTCTGTCACACGGACACACAGATTTACTCACTTTATTAGATTAAGATTAAGATTAAGTGACCCTTATTAGTCCCACAACGGGGAAATCTTATCTCCACGGTCTAACCCATCCGTGCAGTGAAACACCACATACACACTAGTGCACACACACACACTAGGGGCAGTGAGCACACTTGCCCGGGGCAGTGGGCAGCCTTATCCACAGCGCCTGGGGAGCAGTTGGGGGATAGGTGTCTTGCTCAAGGGCATCTCAGTCATGTACTGTCGGCTCAGGGGATCGATTCCATAACCTCCAGCCCATGACTGCCAAGGCTGTTTCCCTAACCTCCAGCCTACGACTGCCAAGGCTGCTTCCCTAACCTCCAGCCCACTACTCCCAAGGCTGCTTCCCTAACCTCCAGCCCAAGAATGCCAAGGCTGGTCCCCTAACCTCCAGCCCAAAATTGCCAAGGCTGGTTCCCTAACCTCCAGCCTATGACTGCCAAGGCCTCTCCTCATCTGGGCTAATTATGAACATCTGCTTATGAGGGTTCATTGAATTACTCAATGGATTGGAAGAGGGATATATGTACGTACATGTAGCGGTAGAAGGAAACAAGTGAGGAGACAAGCTAGTGAAACAGGCCCCCACAGAGAACCAAAAATCTTGGGGTGTGAGTCTGTAGGTGGCGTAGTTGGGTCTAGAGTTTCAGCTTCTCCTATAGTCAGTGTTGGAGCTGCTCAGGCTCTGTCTGTCACACGGACGCACAGATTTACTTACTTTATTAGATTAAGATTAAGATTAAGTGACCCTTATTAGTCCCACAATGGGGAAATGTCACCTCCACGGTCTAACCCAGCCGTGCAGTGAAACACCACATACACACTAGTGCACACACACACTAGTGGGCAGTGAGCACACTTGCCTGGAGCGGTGGGCAGCCCTATCCACAGCGCCTGGGGAGCAGTTGGGGGATAGGTCTCTTGCTCAAGGGCATCTCAGTCATGTACTGTAGGCTCAGGGGATCAATTCTGTAACCTCCAGCCCACGACTGCCAAGGCTGCTTCCCTAACCTCCAGCCCAAGAATGCCAAGGCTGGTCTCCTAGTCCCAGCCAATGACTGCCAAGGCTGGTTCCCTAAACTCCAGCCCACGACTGCCAAGGCTGTTTCCCTAACCTCCAGCCCACGACTGCCAAGGCTGGTTCTCTAACCTCCAGCCCACGACTTCCTCGGCTGTTTCCCTAACCTCCAGCCCACGACTGCCAAGGCTGGTTCTCTAACCTCCAGCCCACGACTGCCTCGGCTGTTTCCCTAATCTCCAGCCCACGACTGCCCCCATCTCAGACACATACACGTCATAGTAGTAACATAACACAGTCACATGTAATCTGTTCCTCATTTGATGAAGGTAAATCACTAATATGCTCTTTTGCTAATGAACAGTAGTTCAGCTTGTTTAACTTTAGTTATATTCTGGTGATGAAAGAGTTACAGTGATGCTAATGCAGCTACAACTGGATCTGCATTTAATGGTGTGATCTGAGTGACGTGCTGCTGATCTCTGAAACATGGATTAACCTCCTCTTCTGGGTTAGAGAAGCCACCAGGAGGGCCCAGATGGCTGATCATGTGGAGTGGAGGGAATGAAGAAGAAGATGTTATTGAGGACTGTCTCTGCTGGGACGCAGGACCCGGTGACAGATCAGTGAAGGTGTAGGACAATGATAAGTCTGAAGACGGAGCTGCAGGAGCTGCAGTTCTCCTTTAGCTTCTGGAGAGGAAAAGCGTCTAGAACAGAAATTGTTCCCCTGAACAGACAGAGTTCTGCTGGATTTGACACACAGGTGGAGCGTCTGTCAGGAAAACGCTGGAATGACTGAGACTCATGGGCTCCACGCTAGACGTGTTTTATATGTTGGAGGAAAAGAAAGAAAAGCTCTGTCTTATTTATCACTTTACAGCAGAAACAAGCCGTAATTTCATCAACCTGCTCATCATCTGTAAGTGTAAACCATTGATGAGGGAATGGAGCTGAATCTCTATCAGCAGCAACACAGATTACACTCATCCATCCCAATCATCAATCCCACATGAGGATTATGATTCTATTATACAGCTGATTATGATTGTTCACTCTCAGCTGTACCTGATTATCACACTGCAGATTTAAGGAAAGACTTAGTGAAGTAAACGGAGGAATATCTGCTAATCCCAGCTCTGCTGACCCCTACAGAGCAGATATACAGAGGGTGGAGCTGAAAATCATTGTTAGTGAGGCTCCTTTTCTTCTTTAAGTCAAACTGAAGTGAATTCCTGCTCTTATTGTCCGTGTTCATAAGAGAGACGCAGTAGAGGTTCAGTCCTCCATTTACTGCTGCACTCTGAGAGCTGAAAGTGCTGCAGGTCCTAATCAGAGGATCAGGAGCTGAGAGTGCAGGTCTGACAGTGTGGGTTCTAAAGCTGTGGTGCTGCGGTTCTGCAGATGGATGCTGCTGCTTTCCGGCGCCGGCGTTCCCGAACTCCATCAGCCGCAGGGAGAATGAGACTCAGAGGAGCCCTGAGTTTAGAGATTCCTCAGAGTCGCTGTGGTGCGAGTGTTGCTGTTGCCGTGTGACCCTTGTAGTGTTTCTCCTTCTCCGGTCGAAGAGCTGGTCTGTTGTTCTAACAGAGCCTTGATTGGATTCCAGAGTTCTTTCCTCACCAGCTGGAGTTCCCAGTTCTCCTCCATCATCCAGTCAAGGGTTTAAATAGTGAGGAAGTAGAACCAACTAGAAAAGTGTGTTTCCTGTAGAAAATGCAGAGAGACTGTGCAGCTTAATCGATTTGAGAATGTTTGCTAAGGTTTTGTCAGGTGGTTGCTATGGTATTTTATATGGAGTGTTTATAGGTAGTTGCTGTGGAATTCCAGGTGGTTGCTAAGGTGTTGCTAGGAGGTTACAATGGTATCCCAGATGGTTGCTAGGCACTTGCCATGGTATCTTAGGAGGTTGTTAAGGTCTTGCTTGGTGGTTGTTACGGTATCCCAGGGGGTTGCTAAGTTGTTGCTAGGTGGTTGACATGATATCCCAGGTGGTTGCTAAAGTGTTGCTAGGCAGTTGCTATGGTGTCTCAGGTCATTGCTAGGCAGGTACTATGGTATCCTAGGTGGTTATTAAGCTGTTGCTAGATGGTGGTTTCTGTATCCCAGGCAGTTGCTAAGGTGTTGCTAGGCAATGGCTATGGTATCCAAGGTCATTGCTAAGGTGTTGCTAGGTGGTTGCTGTGGTGTCCCAGCTGGTTGCTAAAGTTTTCCTAAGCAGTTGCTATGGTGTCTCAGGTGGTTGCTATGGTATCCCAGGTGGTTGCTTGGTGGATGCAGTGGTATCCCATGTGGTTGCTAAATTGTTTCTAGGTGGTTGCTATGGTATCGCAGGTGATTACTATGGTATTTGAGGTGGTTGCCAGGCTGTTGCTATGGTATTCCAGAAAATTGCTAAGGTGTTACTAGGTGGTTGCTGTGGTATCCCAGGTGGTTGCTAAAGTGTTGCTACGTGGTGGTTATGGTATCCCATGTGGTTGCTCAATTGTTGCAAGGTGGTTGCTATGGTATCCCAGGTGGGGTGTTTATTTAGTTGTTCCACGGGAGTTACCAAGTGTTTGCTATGTGTCGTTGAAAATGAATGGGAGTCTATGAGAGGAAGGAGGGATGAAAAAATGGCACATAGAGGAGTGCAGGTCAGTATGGCATGTGG